TTCTGTTCCACCAAGGGAAACTCATGACATGTGAAACTGATGTAGATGGACAGGAAATGATGACAGCTCGCTGGCAACATCATTTTCATCTCCTTGATTTTGCGGTCCAGTCGATGTTCGCCCACCTATATAGAGCAACTTTCTGCTCCAATAAAAGTTCTGTCCTTAGGAACTTACCAATGGAGAAGCTGACGCACGCGAAGGAGAAAAACTGCAGCTCGTTTGCAACATCATCTTCAACTCCTCGCTTTTGTGATCCCACCAGCATTGCTCTCTTCCAAATCTAATTTGGAACTTTGTCCACATATCCTTTTGGGATTTTGATTTTATGTTCATGACTACACTTGTGTTTTAAAGTTTATTAGAATAGAAAAAGGGGGAGGAGAAAATGGAGAAGGAAAGAGGAGCAAAGAGAAGGAAGGTGCAGCAGAAGAAATCCTGGCCGCCAAGGTATTAACCTGCCTCTTATACCAAGTTGTCAGGAACCTGTCCTGATATATGGAGACGTAAAGGAAGAAGAATAAGCAGAGGAAAGAAAAGAATTGAAGAAGTACACCTTTGTTGTAGAGAAGGAAATTCAATATTCATTCATGTTTTCCCTTGATATAAAATTCAGTCCCTCATGTATAGGGTCTTCTCTCTTTCTCTAGCAACAAAGCAGTAACTGAACGGAGAAGACTTTCTCCTTTCTTCGATTTCTCTTCCTTGATATTAGTTGATAATACACTTGTGATTTAGGTCATCAATGTTCTAACTTTTCATATAAGAAACAGAGAACTCAAACACAATATCTAGATAAAATTCATTATGAACAAAAAATTGAAGATCTCAAATATTAATTATTAGATCAATAACTCAACATTTGCATAATAATCATATCAATGGTCTACAAACAACACAACCAGAATATAAGAGAGGCTCAAAAGTGCCTTGATAAAGTGTTAAAGTTTCTACATTGAAAGGAGGATCAATATGCATATGAGTGGGGAAGTCAAGCAACTACATTAAGTCCAACAGATCAAACAATGAGGCAAGTGCCAAGAGCTTAGGTATATAATTTCTTGAAAACCTGTTTTTTGGATATTGTTCAGAGGATGCAAAGCATGCTTCAGTCACCTACATGAAATTCTATAGTTTTACAATACGCATCTATTGCAAGTTTATAATCAATATTAGTTAAAGTAATCTTTGCCTAATCTCAACATGTAAATCAAGAAAGTATTTGGCAAATAATTTAGCAGGCTCATAAATTTTAATGTAAGGAGTTTAGATAAGGTTAATAGATGCTCGAAGGTAATAACCATGAACAATTTCAAAAGAACTCTTACCAGTTGGTTCTTGTGTTCAAGAACCAAAAATTAAGTTATCAAGTCAGTATTATGTCCAAGCTCTCTTTCATCCTAAATCCTTAATCTTTGTATTAAAAGTTGTTCCAAATACGACTTTTAATTTCAAATAAAATTAATATAGTACATTTTGAATTCTTTCGAAATTGATGGAATAAGAAACAGATTATAGTGGTTTAAAAGAAAAACAACTATAAACCATAAACATATACTTCAAAATACAAATAATACTACCCAAACACCATTATGCTAAAAGTGCATGACTCAAAATGCAATTAATTCAATAAAATATGTTAGAAGTTCATGGTTTATTCTGGATATTGAAATCCATTTACAAATAGAAATAAAACGAACTCCATTGTCCATTTATTCCAAGCATAACCTTAACTAACATGGCAACTTAGAGAGAGAGAGAGAGAGAGAGAGAGAAAGAGAGAGAGAAAGAGAGAGAGAGAGAGAGAGAGCAGATTCTCAATTTTCCTCCATCCAACTGTCATGAGCTTCAGAAAGTATTGTGTTTTCAATTAACTTATATCTAAAACTGCGGCTATCTTCCAAGCAATAAAGCTCCGAAGACAACAGAATCAACTTCCACCATTAATAGTTTGGAGCATTACACGTCTAAAACTAATCCTTA